ATATACTTTTTATATTACCAGTACTAGTAGTTTATTGACTATCACGCACTGCAACAGTGCGATGCGAACCCTTGTTATCCTATATAATCAACTTTACAACTAATCGATTAATTTGATTTTCGCTACCGAAGCGTAGCGGAGGATAGTAATGGTGATACAAAAGTCCTGTTTTTGATGCATCACAATTTACGTTCTTGATTAATTCATTAGATATATTATACTAATGCATCAAAAAAATGTAATGTTGTCTGTCCAAACGCGCGTTTGTGATTATCATGTGCTTCCGAATTAACCTAGTATGATCTTCTGATTAGTTTTATGTCACGCGCTTCCTCGAATGTCAAAGCGTTAGTGTAACAAAGTTACTATATACTTAAATAAAATAACTCAAAAATCTTTAAAGTAATTCAAATGGATCCACTTCAAGAGGTGAATTTTACATTCCTATATATTCTTCATTTTCACGTTTTCACTTAAAATATACATTTTTTTCCCACTTCAGACCGTCAAAGAAATTCGTTGGAATGTTCTTGAAAGCTTATCTAAAGTTGCCCGTTTTTCTCGTGATACTGCGGGTATAATAACATTGAATGTTACTTATTTCTTTTTATAAGCTTGTAATGTCAATAACAAAAGCGTTATTTCCATAATATAGCAACTATTTTAGAACATCCGATCGCGCGTCCTATTCTCCCACACCTTCCGCCAGCTATCAATAATCTTATACAAACAGAGCAAACTCGTTCGGTAGTTGATGAATACGACGCCGGGAGGGTTTATCTAGCCAAATGGGCTACAAGTCTCGATGAGGCCAGTAGAGCGGAACGCTCAGAAAAGTGTGATGATAGCTTTTCTGGGCCTCGGAGAAGACGGTGGTCTGATAGTGAACCAAAAAGATGGGAAGAAGAGACGGAGGTGGGAACTTTTGAAGTTTTAAACGTATGTAATTCTTGTTAACAGGCAAAGCAATATTTCTACAAAGTATTTACATTTTCAGAAATATATTAATAATTTCTTATAGGACGAGATAACATCATTTCCGTTGCATGCTATAAGAACTGATCCTCTTAATGCAGAAAGATGGTTTTCATTCTTCGATGCAGAGGGGAGGCTCAAAGTCGAATTAAATGAAGTACGAGAAGCGGTGTTTCGTGGAGTATGTTTTACAAGACGCGTAATAGCTTGTTTATATATATATATTTAAAAGAAGCTAATGGTTTATTTATTAGGGTGTCGAAAATGACATTCGTATTGAAGTATGGAAATTTTTTTTGGGAATGTATCCGTGGGATTCCAGTCGGGTAGAAAGAGAGAATTTGTTAGATGCGAAGGCGTGCGTACATATTTTCTGCATGTTCATCGATGTAGTCGTTATTGAAACTTATTTTTTAATAACTTTAGGCAGGAATATTGGAGATTGAAACGAGAATGGTGGGATTCACCTGAAGTTCTAAATAGCGATGATTTTAAAGAACAGAAAATGCGAATAGGTTCTTAAAGTTATTCATCATGAGTTGTAATTCTTTCTATGTTCTGAATGCATGGTAATATCTGTAGAAAAAGATGTCATCCGAACTGATCGTACCATGGAGTTTTTTGCTGTAGAAGATATGCCACATCCTGATCCGTTAATTTCCGCATCCTCGAAAACAACAAACAAAAAACTTGAGGCAATGAAGGATATTTTAATGACATATCATTTTTATAATAAAGACCTTGGTTAGTCTATTGTTTTTTCTTAACGGATTGACTTAAACTCAGTAATATGCAATCAGGAGATACCGAACATGATAATAAGATTCTGATTATTCGTCGTATTATTATATTTGCAGGATACGTGCAAGGAATGAGTGATTTATTAGCTCCTGTATTTATTGTCATGGAAGAGGAAGTCCCCGCATTTTGGGTGTTCGTAGGTTTTATGGAGCGCATGGTAAGCTGTAATCGATCTATAATTTTAATTGACACTTGAGCAAAGCCTAATCGATTTGTTTTTTGCATCAGAAATATAATTTCTACAGAGATCAAAGTGGAATGAGACGCCAACTTCTTACTCTTGAACATTTAATTAAATTCATGGATCCACCTTTATATAGACATCTTAGTGAGTCTTTCTGTATCATTAAGATATTATTATTATTATTGTCTATTTCAATATCATCCCTGTTTTTTATTTTATTTTTTTATTTTGCTATTTCTCATAGAAAACACTGAATCATTAAATCTATTTTTCTGTTTTCGGTGGATTTTGATATGGTTCAAGCGTGAGTTCGCCTGGGAGAAAGTACTATATATATGGGAAGTCCTATGGTCAGACTATCTATGCACGAAATTTCATTTATTCGTTGCTTTGGCTATTTTGGATAAGCATCGGATGGTGATCATCGAATATTTGAAACAGTTCGATGAAATTTTAAAGGTATGTTATCCAGTAACCACTGAAATTTAACATTTTTGAAATCCGGGTATGAAATTTCCATTTTTTTTTTTTTTTTTTTTTTTTTAGTACGTAAATGATTTGTCAATGACAATACCCGTGGATGAAACGCTATTACGAGCCGAAACGCTTTTTCATCAATTTCAACGAAGGGTTGAGGCAATTGACCGAAAACGATTAAATATACAGCAAGAGAATCAAAATTCTGGCGGATCTTTACGAAGAAGAGTTGGTGAGTCTGTGGTACAAAATGGTTCCGCTGGCGAAGGATCCAGTTCAGATGCTGCTGGTGCGGTTGATAAATTGCCAATCATAAGCGAATTATTAAGGGATCTACTTGATAAATAAAGGTTTTTTCAATTAATGCTAGGGACAATTTTAAACATTCTCTTTTATGTTGTTTAATTTCTTGTGGAAATAATAAAGAGCATATTGATTCGTCTGGTTTGTTTTCATTTATACAGCTAGCATCATTTTAAATTTTTTCTTGTTTCCATAAGAAACGCAAAAATACCATTTCTGATGGATCGTCGGTACTGTTCCTGATGGGGTTAAAAAAAAAATCGATTTACATACTGTTTCTGATAGGGTAAAAAAAAAAATCGATTTACATACCGTTTCTGATAGGACCCTAAAAATAAGGTCCAGTAAACATAACCCGGATTGTATAAGATCTAATTATATTTATGACTTAGATAAATTAATAATTTGCCAATAGTTATTTTCTAATCAATATGCAATTCAAGCAAAATATGAATACGTATCATAATCTTGTTAAGTTCCATGAATAACCATCTTTACAGCTAAACGCAATTATGACCTGAATATAGATGTTTACAGAATTATTTGACTACTTAGTTAGCTATTATGTTGATTTTCCTTAACTACCCTATCACTCTTCCTAGAGAAAATACATTATCGTAGATGTCAGTACTGTCTAGGCCACGCCGGCTTATTCGCAATTATAACATTGTAGATATAAATTATTGCTTGACCAAACTATATAATTACAAATACACATTTAATAGTCTTTTTATATTGATGGATTGTCTAGGGTACGGGCAGAAAGATGCAAATCAGCTCATCGGCTCAATTGATTCATCGGTTTTTATTATACTAAATATACAAGCCGATCGAGCCGTTTTGCATCTAGGCACAGGGTAAATTGATTATATCATCGTTAATGCGGAGTATAATTTAAGTTATGCAAAGTATAATTTAAATGAAACATTATGTACGTACGTAAGTACAAACATATTAGTCAGATACATTGTTTACTCAATTTGTACAATTTGTAGAATTTTTTAAAAAAATAAATAAATAGATAGAATTTGATCAAATAAAGATTTGCTCTTTCGTTCTGGCGTAGTAGCCGAATAAAAATTGTGCGGTTATTGCTTTTGCTCGACAGTGAAGATATAATAAATGAATGCATCAAGTTCTCTTTCCCAATATCGTGTTAATGATAATGGGTGTATTAATTTACCTTTCGGCCGTGCAGTTGAAACGTATATTAACTCTTTGCCGCTATTAACCAACTGCAAGCTTAAAAAACAAAGCAGACTTTATGTAAATGAGAATATCAAGACAGGTTTAATTACTCTGAAACGTACTGAAGGGGCTATCGACTATCTCTCTTGGAAGACAGTTTTAGGACAAAATAAATCAACAAATAGGTTGGATGATATACTTGAACTTACGGAGAAGGGCCGTGAACAAGTAACTAAAATTAAGCAAAATGCGGCTTTAGACTTAACAGTATAGAGATGGGTTTTATTTTGTGATGGTAACAATAATTGTCAAAGATCCTGTGGTGGAATTAGAGAATGTAAACGAGAATGCCCAAATTTTTTTTTAAAAAATAATGTAAAGAATAAATTTGATACACACAAGTGTGCAGTTCGAATCATTACTAAAGTTATGCTATCTGATGTTGAAGAACCCTTGCCAGTACAATTATTTGTTGAAGGCACACATAGACCACTACACATTCCTGTGGCATCACAACCAAAAGTGGCGAGAATAAATCTTAGTCTCCAATCCCGTGACCATGCAATTGCAGCACATCGTGCACACCGCAGTACTGGAGCAGAAATTGCACTAAAATTATTAGCACCATATAATAATATGAGTGCAACTCATCTTAAATATATGCGTGAAACTGATAAAAGTATATGTACAGAACAACAGTTAAAACGATTAATTGAGAGAGATAATACCCGATTACGTGAAAATGCAGGCCCATGGACAATCTTAGATCAATTGGTTACTACTGAACTAAAAAATCAAGAAAAGGTACTTTACTATCAGCGGCATAATACCTCTGTTTCAGAAAACTGTCCTGAATATTACTACCAATTGACACTAAGCGATGAGTTGTGGCTTCATCAAGGTCAAGATTGTGGATTTTTTTGTTTTGGAATAGATGGGAAATATGATCTAAATAATGAAAAAGCCCCTGTACTCTCTATGGTTATTGAGGATGAAGCTGGATATGGATCACCATT